TTTGCTGATTTCATTCCTATAACGATGTTTGACTATTTTTTTCTTTATTTCCTATGTAGTGTAATATTAATTTAGTTGGATTTAAAACTGGATCAGATCAAAGTCACTCCTGACCCCCCCCCCCTTTTTGGGATCAAGACTATTTTGTGGGTAATCCTCTGTATCCATCCGGAGGCAGATAAGGTCTTAGTCTCTTTTTTTTTTTTTTTTAGCAGTCATTAATGCTTCTTGTCTAGATGTATTCCTTAGGTTTTGCAAAAATGGTGATAGTCCATTCTGCCATTGTTTCACTTACTATACCTGGAGTAATTTCATAAAGCCAACTTCATTTATAGCTGTTTGGTTACTCATTGTTACAAGTTTATATTGAATAGCAGGTATGTTTATATGATTCTTTTGTTAACTAATTGTGGAAATAATATGGTTTACTGGCATCCTGGAACTTGTGTTCTTTCTGTGTCACCCTCCTGTGTATCTGGGATGATAGTATGTGACCATGTCTGACTGAACTACAGTTTTTACCTCTTTGTATCTTCTACGTTTTGAAAAAGTTAGCAGTTTCTTTTTTGCTGAATTTTGCTTTTGTTTGTAGGATATGTGCCAGTGGAGCGATGCAGTCAAATTATTGTGTCATTTAAAATACCTTTTTATATGGTTATGTTACTAACTGGATATAAATTTAGGTTATTTTATTTTAAAGTAAGTTTTAGGTTTTATATTTATGTCTCTGATTCAAGTTTTTACTTAGTTTTTGTAAATGATTCGATATATAGGTTGAAGTTCATTTTTTGATAGGTTGATGTTTAATGACAACATCATTTGTTGAAAGACATTTTTCTTCATTGGATTGCTATTGCACAGTTGTTAGGTATCAGTCAGTTCTATTGATCTGTGTGTCCATCCTATTGTTAATACAACACTGTCTTGATAACTGTAACTCCATGTTGTCTTAAAATCAGGTAATTTGAATTTTAACTTTTTTTCTTATTTAATATTGGTATAGATGTTCTGTTTCAAGATCACCTTGTCAATTTCTTTTTTTTTTTTTATGTCTTTTTCTTTTTTATCAGTACCAGGGATTGAACTCACGACCGCCTGCTTGCAAGGCAGGTGCTTATGCCACTGAGCTAAATCCCTCGCCCCAACACCTTGTCAATTTCTGCAATAAACCCTGCCGAGAGTTTGATTGGGATTACATTCTCTGTTTAAAAGTTTTTTGAAGCCAATGGTGTACACCTTTCTCTAGTCACATCATTTGAGAGGCTAAGGCAGAAGGATTACTGGAAGTTTTGAGGTCAGTTTGAGATACATAGTGAGTTCAAGGCCAGCCTGAATTACATACTATGTCTCAAAAAAAAAAAAAAATCTGTGAGCTTTGAAGTCTTACTGATATTGCATCCTTTAATCCATAAATTTGTTACATTTGTTTATTTAGTTCTTCCATCACTTTCATTAGCATCTTATAATTTTTCCTTTACATATTGTACATAGTTGTTAAATTTATATCTTAAGTATGTTGTATGTTTTATTAATGACATTATTTTAACATATTTCAATCCCATTAATTAGCATATGTAGAAAGTTGATTTTTTTTAGTGATCTTTTATCCCATGACTTTATTAAATGCACTAGTTCTAATATTTGCTTTAATGTCAGTTATTTTTTAGATTGATCATTTTTAGTTTTTAACATTTACTTAAATTTTACCTGTTTTATCAGTTACTTAGTGCACATTCCATTTTTGTTTGTTGTATATACTACTTTTTGCCTGAAGATTCTTCTAACATTTCCTAAAATACAGATCTAGTATAATGAATTGTCATATGTTCATATGTTGAAAACGCCTTTATTTCTCCTTTGTTTTTGAAAGATGTTTTTATGGGATGTAGAAATTTGAGTCAGAATTGTTTTCAGTACCATAAAGATGTCTGTATTGTCTCTTGAGTCATACGCTTTTTGGCAGGAATCTTGCTGCACTTAACTTTTTCTCTCTTCATTGATTTTAAGATTTTACTTTCTTTTGGTTTTAGGTTTGGCTATCATTTATTTTGGTATTGAAATTTTCCTTTCTCTTTTTGAAATTACGTATTATTTCTACCCTTTTTCTGTTTGTTTTTTTTCTCTTTAAATAAAATTTAAAAAATTTTTTTTGCCTTTCTCGAATTCTGTGAGACTCTTAGGTAGATGGTTTGATGCTTTTTAATATTTTTTTCAAATTTTTTCATTTTCTTTCCAAATATTTCTTCTACCTTTTCTCTTATTTTCCTTTAGAATTCTTATATATTAGACAATTTGATATTGTCCCAATGTTGTTAAATACTTTAGTTTTTCTCCCTCTCAGTTTCTCCTGTTTTGATGTGATTGATTTGGATACTTCCTATCAAATTTGTTGATTCATCTCTGTGGCAAATTGTTAGAGTTCATTAGAGCCCCCAGCATCTCCACTGGAGGTGGAATCCAGGTACAACCACTGAGTTATGTCTGGGGAGCCCTTTTTATTTTTATTTTGAGATAGGGCCTCATTAATTTGCAGAATCCAGCCTCACATTTGTGATCCTCCTGCCTCAACCTCAGGTGAGATTACAGATGTCTCCACTTTGCCCAGTCACAGGTATTCTTAATCCTTTTTATCACTTCTTAAAAATATATTTTGGGTTTTTTCTCAGTATTTGATTCTGTTTCAAGAGTTTCATCTCTGTGCTGATAAAATATCACAAAACAAACATGATCTTAACTAGAACGTATAGCATACTAGTAATCATCGTTACTTTAAACTCTATGGTGATTTAGCTTATGAATTAGGTACATATTTTGTACTGCTGATTGCTTTGCCCTTAACATTGAGATTCCTCCCCCACTTTGCTTTTATTGCATCTCATAATTTTTAGTTGGGAGCTGGTCAGTGTTTAGGAAATTTAAGACTAAGTTAAATAATATTTATGCTTCAAATGGCATAGTTTTTCTGCTAACCTTAGTGCTGAGCTATGTAATCAGTCTAGTCAGTAGTTGGAAGTTAGGTTTTTCTGTTATGGTTGCTATAGTTACCTTTAGCTCATACTGGCTTCAAGTTCTATTAACTTGCTTAGTTCGAGCAAGGAGGATTTTCCTTACTGTTTCTGCTTAAGCCTACACTTGAGCCCTTTGCTCTTCTCCTGTGTTTCACAGAGAGCTTTTCCCCTGTGTTCTTGCCCTTTTCCTGGTAGTGGGCTCTTATTCTTGTTTCATGCCTGCTAGCCTGGTTGTGAGAAATGGGCTCATTGTCTTATTTTTCTAGTCCAGTTTCATTCAGTCTTAGGAGGCTCTTTGTTCTTGAGTCTTGGGGTGCGGTTTTATCAGATCATGCTCCTCTCCACCTGAAACCTTTTGATTATAGGTGGCAGGATAGCATTTTTTGGTGTTCTCTACTGAGGAAGAGGACTTTTAGTCTTTTTCTTTTCATGAACAGTAGTGAGTTTTACTTGTGTTGTAGGCGTGGGTAATAGTGTTTGATCTCCGTTCCTCAGTACTTTAAATTTTTGCTTTTTATAGGACAAGGGTAGAAGCATTTATACCTTTTCTGCAGAGGCAACTGCTCCCTTCTTCCAGTCCTGTGCCAAGAGATATTTTTGCATTCTTTTGCTCAGCCCTCAGTCTTAATTGTGAGAGTGAAGGTTTGCGGAAAAAGTTTGCAAGTGAGTGCAGACTAGTATGCAAGTTGGTGGACTCTCCATGTATCTGTGGCCACTGAACATTCTGTATTTTCCTATTAGCCTACATTTAGATATTAATTTGTTAAATACAGGTGAATTCTTGCTCACTTGTATTACAGCTTCATTTCCCTCTTGTCCTTTGACTTACCGCTTTCGTTCAGTATCTTTTTTTCCTTCTAGATTTCATACTAGCTGGTTATTCTACAATCTCAGCTTTTAGATGCTGTCAAGAACAGTTGTGATTTTGTATATTACCTTACTCTTGGTGGAGTGAAAGTAATGTTTTTCCAGTTTCTATATTCAAGTTGAAATTCCTTGATAATCAAAGATACTTTTTGAATTTTTAACTGCTTTGTTTAGGAAATACTGCAAAGTTAAAGTGCCAAGTATTGTTAGTAACTTCTCTGTAACCTTCACCAAATTTACCAGTTATTAATTTTTTGCTAAATATGATTTATCACCATCTCCACACGTACCATATTTAGTTGTTATTGTTCTTTTTTTTGGTACTGAGACTTGACGGCGGGACCTTGCACTTGCCAGGCAGTTACTTCTCTGCGGAGCTATATCCCTGGCCCATACCTCGCCTTCTTTTCCTTTCCCTCTTCCTCTTCTTCCTCTTTCTTCTTCATCCCCCTCTTCCTCTTCTTTTTATAGCATGCCTCAACCTCATGGCCATTTACCTTTAAATACTTTAATCTTGTCTTTAAAAGACTTGGTGATGCATGAATGTTGGAGCCGTTGAAGCTGAATACAACGTGCAAGGCTGTGGCATGGCTGGGCCTTGGCTGAATTGAGAACAGAGAGATGCCTGAAAGGGCAAGATAGGCCACAACTGAGGCTACCTGGCTCCAGCCCCAATTACTAGGATGGAGATTGTAGCTGCAGGCATCTCACTTGTGTGGGATTCACTTGGAGACTTTCTCCTAGGATGTTTCTCCTTAATTAGCATAGTCTGTTGCTCTGGAGGGGTCCTTGAATCCTTCCCAGGGTTCTGCTCAGGTTCCCTGCATTTTCTACTGTAACCCTTTCCTTGTTTGAATACTAAATAAATATGGGCCACTCAGAGACATTCCCTGTCTTAGCCCACAGAGGCTTGAACTTTGCAGAGGGTTTTGATCCTCTTTGGAGTCCTAAAACCATATCACTTTTCTCATTTATTGAAGCCTTTACTGTACACTCATTTGGGAGATTGGGGATCTAGGCCAGGTCCCTGATACACGAAGGTTTTTGTTAAAAATACTACCTGTACTTACTGTAAAGTAGAAGTATCCATCAGTAACTTGTATTTATTAAAACTTCTGTCTGTAGGTATCATTAATGGGACTGGAAATTTTAAGTGCCTTTGTGGACAGATTATCAACACGATTTAAATCATATGTAGCAATGGGTAAGTTAACTTTATTTAAAAATCATTGTAGACTTTGTTACAGTGACTTTTTTTTTATAGTTTCTGTCAGCAGAATTTTTTTTGTAAATTTTAAAACATAGTTTTGTACCACACAGAGATCTGATACTTAGTGTTGTAGTTTAAATAATGATTGTATCTCTTTTTAAATAATTTTATTTCCTTTGAAGAACAAAGAGATATTTATTTGTTTGAAGAACAAACAAATATTTATATATTTATATATTATATTTACTTATTTATATATTAAAGTATATTTATTTATATATTTAATTATAATTGATAGAACCTAAGAATAAAACAAGACAACAAAAACCTAGAACCTGAAAACCCTGCTAAATACTAATAGATTTTTTGCTTCATGTTTTCAAAATGTTCTTATTGGCTCTTTTGTAAATATGAAAATTTATAGTATAATTTACCTTTTTTTCAGGCTAGTTGTGAGGAGGGACTAGGGACTAATTTTTTTCATTGCAGCCTGTGTCAACCAATATTTTATAAAGTATAAGAGAAGATAGCAAAATGAAAAAAAGAGCAAAGCCCCTTTTCTGGTTTAGATTTGGTGATGGGGATTGAACACAGGGCCTTGGAAGTTTAAGCACATGCTCTTACTACTGAGCTATATGCTCAGGCCATTCAAGTTTTTCTCCCCATTTTCCAGACTTTTTCCAGGGCCTTGTGCCTGCTAAGCAAATGCTGTACCACTGAGTTACATTCCTAGCGTACCTTCCCCCAACCTCTTTTCTTGGAGATAGCATCTCTCTGAGATCTCTCTTTGTAGACTGGTCCTATGCTGCTAGCCATACCTTAAAAGTGTGTTTGCTGTACAGTACAATATGCAAATACCCAGTTCTTTGTATAGTATTATGATTACAAAGCTGACTTCAACTTATTTTCTAAATCTGAATGACCTTCATGTGCTTTATGGAATGCACTGAGTGAATTGGGTCCTATTATATATAGTATTGTATGGGAATGTGACCTTGACTGTTAGTGATTGTGTGTGTGTGTGTGTGTGTGTGTGTGTGTGTGTGAATTAAGTTACTGGCTCATAATGTTAATATATCATCACAGTTATTTTCAAATATCATTGTTAAGCTTTTTTTTACTTATGTTTGGTATGCTACCAAATTTTCTTTTTATGATCTACATATCTTTTCAAGCAGAAATGTTTAATGGACCTCTTGATCTTTAGTGTGCAATTTAAATCCTTAGTTGGTTTCCAGATCATTCTTTCTGTTAATATCTTTTGAAAAGAAGATTTTTACTGTCAGAATCTTCTGCTTAAAATCTTGTAGTAGATGTTAAAAATCCATGTTTTGGAAACATTTTACGTATTTATATATTTATATATTATATTTACTTATTTATATATTAAAGTATATTTATTTATATATTATAATTGATAGAACCTAAGAATAAAATATTATTGTTTGTTTCTAAGAAACTTTGTGTTAAAAAAATATTTTGATGAGAATTATGAATGTATTATGTAAATTAATAGCTAGAAAACTTTCTCTGATGAGATGTTTTGTTTCTGTTGTAAAAATCTTAAAAGTAGATGTTAGTTTTGTTTCTTCTGTAAAACATTACTATTTAATTGAAATGAGCCCCTGTTTGGGCCAACATTTGTGTTTAATTTTGGGAAAATTGGGAAGTCTTATATTTGAATTTTCTTTTTGAAGCTAAATTCTATCTCAGATGTCTTTTTTTTTCCTAATACTGTACTGTGGTTATTAACACATGAACATACACCTAAACACTTCAATTACATGTAAGTAAATGGAAGTGATTGTCATTGTACCTTCCTCTTGTACAGAATATTTAAGTCTGGTTTCACTAACTGCAATTTGTGTGATTTTGGGCACAATTGTTAGTAAACTACCCAACAAGATGAGAGAGATTGTTTTTTTCTTCTGACTAATGCGTCCATTGCCTCAGGAGTAGGATACAGGTGTGGGCCTTGTTTTCTTACATAGTAATGCCCTTGATTAAGCGTAAGATCTTTGGGTATTTCATTTGGATAAGACTTCTACTCTAATAATTTTTTTCAAAAAGAATACAGTTTCCTTTACCTCAGACGTTATTGATCCTTTATATTCCTTTTGTTTATTGCATCATAGACAAGTATATTGACATCAAATTATATATACATTTAATTATATCTGCCTATCAATAATCTAAGGAAATATCTCTGTCTTGATTTCATTTCTTCCTGATTCTCTTACTTTATTTACATTATACCTATGTTTCAATGACTCAGAAGGGAAGGCCATATTAATAAGCTGTAAAGCCAAAACAGAAACAAAAGAGATTTCTTTGCATTTGAACTTGGAGGATGATAGTGATAATTAGATGCCATATTATAGAATCCTTTCTCTATGCTCTTCCCTGTGTGTTAACTACATGCCTTATCTTTTAATTTTCAATAATCCCCAAATTGAGACCACTACCCATATTTATAGGTGAGGCAGTAGACAAAAAGCAGTTAAATTCTGTGTTCAAGGTCCCACATGTAGTAAAATCACACTAAATGGTATATGAAAGATAATTTTGAGATTTTTTTTCCTTATGAAAGGACTTTAGAACCCATTCCTTTAATATGATTTTTTTATTAGTATGTGTATGCAGTATATGATTACATGCATTGTGGGGAATTGGTACATACATACACTCCTCATTTCTGTTAACATAGAATTTTGTAATTCATTTTTGATTTTTAGTTACAAAAACTTTGATCATGAAGGCTTTCTGAGAGTGAACTCTAACCTGCTTTTTCTGCCTCTATTCAAGGAATAGTGTCAGTATTTAGGACACAGTACAGAAAAACCTCAGTTCTGGAACATAGGCTTTCTGTTTGTTTCTGTTTCATATACCGTTTAAAGAATAATTATAAAACCAACACCTGATGATGTCCAAGTCAAGAAACTAAACCTCTGCTAATTCTTTAGACTTCTCTGCATTTCCTTATGATGTCTTCTTCCTGTCTGTACCAGTCATCCTTTTTATGGCCTTGGGGAGACATGTTCCTTTGCTTGTCTCTAGAGCTTGATCATTTATGTGCTAGTATGTAAAATCAAACAATATTTTCTTTGGTTTTTGAGCATTATCATAAGGGCATATTATAGTGTTCACATTATGTTTAAACTTGCTTCTCAGTTTTCATTTGGAATAAAGAATTCCAAAAAAAATTTCTTTAGATTTTAACTCTTCATGTGTGGATACAGTTTGTATTTGTAGTTTTATAAAATATAGTTCCTAATAAAGATGAATTATACATATTTACTTTCTCTCTCCTTTAGTTATTGTAGCTTTAATAGACAGAATGGGCGATGCCAAAGATAAAGTCCGAGAAGAAGCTCAGACTCTGATACTGAAGTTAATGGACCAAGTGGCACCACCTGTGGTAAGTCTCCATATTTAAACACAGATTTTTCTAATGGGTAACTGTCAGTAAAATATAGATGTATATAGATGGTAATAACAGTGAGTTGTTAAAAGGTGGGCTGGGGTTTAGCTCAGTGGCATAAGCATCTGCCTGGCAAGCATGAGGTCCTGAGTTAAATCCCCAGTACCTAAAAACAAAACAAAACAAAACAAAAAAGATAAAAAGTATAGGAGGCATGAAAGCTGAAATTTCAAACAGGGAATTATTGCTAATGCTTTAAAGAAGTTGAAATTTAAGCAGAGGTATCAATATTTAATTTTTTTCTTTTCCTTTATTGAAAATGATTTAATATTGTATTGATTATATTCAGGATTTTCTGGGTTCCCTTACTTGTAAACTGTCAAATGTGTAATAAGAAAGCTTATTTTGAAGATTACTAAGTGTTATATTAATTCTTGTAACTCTTAGAAAGAAATTATTTTAACACGTAATTATAAATTGTATAAGGCTTATTATATTCTATAACAAGATTGAATATAAAATGTATGCATAGAAATAATTTGCTCATAAAATTTATTCTGTTTTGTTACTATAACAAAATATTTGAAGCTAGATACTTGTAAAAAAAGAGACATAGTTATTTAGTTTACAGTTTTGCAGGTTGAAAATCCAAATAGTATAGCATAGGCCCCATGGTGAATGACTCACTTTTTGGTAGGTGGTGCCATCATGACAGGAGTACATCCCATACACAAGAATGACGAGAGGGTTAGTGCTACCTTGACAGGGCAAGACAGGAAACCCAAAGGGAGAAGTGGCTTTTCTTCTGGTGTCCTACACAGCTCCTCCTCTTAAAGTTCCCACCATCTTCCCAATACCACCACTGACAACCATATGTGATCACTTGAGTGGCAAACCACAAGCAGAACATGACGTGGAGATATTTTGAAAAGAGAATAAAGAGAACATGATACATAAAGATTGAGAGAGTAGCTCAGATGGGAAAAAAATCAGATAATATATACAATGTTATTATGTCATGCTTAAAATTGTTAATATTACCTGTTTTATAAGAATCCAAAAAGTAGTAAATTTTAAAAGTGAACTGTTTCCGACTGTTTTATACCTCAGAACTAAATCTTTAATAGTTTGGTATTTTTTGTTTGTTTGTTTTTTAATTTTTTGGAAAGAGTCTCACTATGTTGCTCAGGCTAGGCTCAAACTAGAATCCTGCCTCAGTCTCATGAGTAGCTGGAATTGCAAGGTTGCACCACCCCAGCCCAATGGTTGGGTACTCTTTGATGCATGTTACGTGATTTCCATTTTAAGTGGTTTTTGGTATTTTTGTATTACAAAGAATGCCATAGGAAATACCCTTGTACTGAGATCATGGTGCTGAGTCGTATTATTGGATTATAGGGTTTGGTGTTTTGCTTTTGTTTTTGTCTTTGCTGCTGTTGTGTGCTGAACCTAGGCCCTTAAAGAAAGAAATATGTTAGTAAAGCTTAGTAGGGGTGGAATTTGATGAATAGTAAAGGTCATGTTTCCAAATGTGCGAAAATGATTGACTGGACATTTGGCTCTCAGTTGGACAATTGGAAAAGTAAAGTTGAATTCCTTGTTAAACCAAACTCAGTTATTTTGTGTTTCTTGTATTAGTTTATCTATAAAGAAAGTGTACACTTTTCAACATTGAAACAAATTAAGTAGCCATAAAATGAGTTAACCCAAAATTATGCTATATATGTATGTAGTATTAAAATTGGAAAGACCTTAATTATAATACCGTATGTTGAAAAAGCCTGTCCCTTGTGACAGTGTGTAGTAGTTGTTAAGGCGTGTTGGACCTTTTAAATGCTTATTAGACTACTAGATTTATTATAATAGCATTGTTATTGAAGGTTTCTAAAATACAGAAAAATTTCTGTGTCTGGAAATGCTGAGATTTTTAGGTTCTGGACTTTTTTTTATGATAATCATTGAAATTTAAAGTGAAAAAAATGCAATCTGAAAATGTGATGAATGGCTAGGAAGAATGACAATATAGATTTGACTTAGTAGACTTAGAAATTGGGTGTTCCTAATCCAAAACTCAAAGTCCAAAATTGCTCCAAAGCCCAAAACTTCTTAAGCATTGACATAATATCACAAATGGGACATATTTATAACCTGCTTCATGAGACAGGTCACAGTTAAAATACAAATACACTAAAAATATTGTATAAAATTACCTTCAGGCTGTGTATGTGTGTGTGTGTGTAAAGTGTATATGAAACATAATTGAATTTGTGTTTAGATTTGAGTTCTATTCTTAAGATATCTCATTCTGTAAATGCAGATATTTTAAAATCTGGAAAAAGTTTTAAAGTATTTCTGGAATGAAGCATTTCAAAATGGGATACTTGGCTTATAGTAAAGTGGAAATATTCTGATGAGAAAAGTTAGTTATTAATGAAATTGGTAATAAGATTGGGAAGAGTTGAAATATTATAGCATGGATAATTTAATTTTTTGTAATGCCTGTACTTTTCTTTCAAATAGTACATTTGGGAACAGTTGGCTTCTGGTTTTAAGCACAAGAATTTTCGATCTCGAGAAGGCGTATGTCTGTGTGTTATTGAAACCTTAAACATGTAAGTTTTATAGTACTGAAAATGGCCTTCTTATGGTTATTGCTCAAAACAAAATCTGTTTTACAATATCAAGAAAGACTATGGAAATAAATTTTAAGTAATTATTAACTGATCCAGCACAAAACTTATTGGTAACTTCATTGATTTTGTGCAAGTATGTATGTTATCTTTCAGATTGTTTATTTGAAAATTATCAGTTGTAAGAAATGTTTCTCTTTTCGTTAGTATGTTAATGTATACCATAGAACTGATGTGTTGATAACTTAGGATCTAAGCTCTGGATCCAATTTGAATTGTTTTTAACTCAGTAATAAATATCTCGTATATTGTAGCCCCACTTCCCAAACCTTCCCTTTTCCAGTTGGCCTTAAGCTCCCTGGAGTACTGTGGTGGATGGCTACCAAATCATACCCTGAACAAGACTCCTGGGTAAACTAAATCTGGTAGCAGTGTGCAGAGTTGTAACAGTATTGATGCCACAGAGATATGAAGAAGATTCTGAAGAAATGTAAACTGGGACTTTTGTTCTCATTCTGGACTAGTTTTTTCAGGTTTAATACAATATGATAGGTAATATATAGTAACTTTCAACTTTCCTATAGCGTTAACTTCCTCTTTATTTTTCACTTTTACTATGCTTTCATGTAATTTCTTTTTTTTTGCTCTATGGTCCATTCTTCCATCTAAAATTTGTGTGTTCAGTCTGCACAATCTTTGTAAGTTTTAGTTTTCCTGTCATTTGCTTTCAACCTGTGACTTCATCCAAATATTAAACACAAATATCTTTTAATTCACTTATTTAACTTAATTTGAAACCCACAGTCTAAAAACCTATTTCAAAAATTAATGCTCTGATTTCTTGTTTGTTTGTTTGTTTGTTTTTGAGGCAGGGTCTCGCTGTGTAGCCCAGGCTGGCCTTGAACTTGCTTATGTAGCTCAGGCTGGCCTCGAACTTACAGCGATCCTTCTGCCTCAGCCTCCCAAGTAAGAGAAGTACAGGCATGCACTACCATACCTAGCTTTTGATTTTTAAAGTCATTTTTAGGTTCCTAGGTAAAAGTTACATAGATTGAGCATTTTGGTATGTTGGGTCATATATGTTCAATATCAGTCGTGATTATTCATTTGTGTATTTCACATTGTTTAGAATTAGTTTTGGCTTATTTCTTGTATATTTTATGTTTTGATGATGTGTGTGCATCCTCTCCGCCGTAATTGTCATATTGATGTAGACAAAAGGCAAGACAGGATATTTTGTTTACTGTCTAATTAAAACCAACTCTGTCTCTCTTTTTCTCAAATTATATTTAGTTTTGGGGCTCAGCCCTTAGTCATCAGCAAGTTGGTACCACATTTGTGCATCTTGTTTGGAGATTCCAACAGCCAGGTAAAAACTTATTTATGTTCAAGCATTGACTAATTTTTTCCCCCTAGCCTTTTTTGCTTTTGGCCCATTGAAGGGTGATAGTAAAAGCACAGTTTTACTTCATTTTTAAATGTTTACCAAAGATAGTTTTTAAAAACATATTTACATAAATTACTTGTTTGTTCATAGTTTGTGTAGTTGGGTATAGATGGGGCTGGTTCTTGAGTTTGAGAGCTTGAATAGCAATGGCCCTGGGTTCCTTTCTGTGGTCTTCCTATAAGTAGTTTTGTTTTATGTTTTTATTTTTTAAACTGGCAAAGTTTTATTAAAGGTAGGAAAATAAACAGGCACTGCAGAGTGAATTTGGGCCAAGTAAAGTTAGGAAAGAAGTATACCCTGCAGCATGAAGGTGGCCACCATGCAAGAGTGATATAGTGATAAAAACTCAGTGTGGGCTCTCCTTTTTGTGTCACTCACTCCTCAGACTGATGTCAGGACTGGGCCATCTTGTCAATAACCTGCCTGAGTTCTTGGAGCAAGTCCATGTGTAAGACTTGGGGAACTGTGTTCCTGGATCTTGTCATGCCTCCTTTCCTAGCCAATTTTAGTTGCATCCTACTTTTCTGTCTCATTTCCCCCAAAGAGACATATGTGCCATAATCTGTATGTTAGTTTTGATGACAGGTTGTCAGCTTCTTTTATTCCTGAGTATGGTTGCATAAAAATGTCTCACTATGCCCGGACTGATCTTAAATTTGTGGCTCAGGCAAACCTCTGACTTCAGCTTTCTAAGTAGCATGTACCACCATACCCAGTTGCATGAAAGAAAGTCTTATAATATTCACTACCTGATGTAACAGGACTGTGTTGGTACATCAAGTGCTACCTATACCATAAACATTAGCTGAGTACCTATACTATAAACATTATGCAAAGGTATGTTCTGGATCTCATTCTCCCTTGTGAAATGGAAACTTAGCTGTAATATTTTTGCAATGGTTGGGGATTAAGAATGACTTGAGTAAGAGTTTCCCATATTTCAGGTGCTAGCTCCTCTTCGACAGGTTTGTAGTTCTGTTGTTTCTGTGAGACGGGATCTTGTTTTGTTGCCTAGACTATCCTTGAACTCCTAGGCTCAGAAGTAAATCTGAGCTACTTAACTACTGCCTTAGCCTTCTGAAAAACTGGGACTACCATACCTGGCTTTTTTTGCACTTTTAATAGTGAGCTGTGCAAGGAAACCAAACTGTTGTTCTTTTGGGGCAAGGAAACTTTGTTCTTTTTGGGCCATATTTTTTTCCTTCATTTACTTGTGATAAAATACACACAATTAAAAATCTATCATTTCAACCATTTTTAAGGTGTGTATATTTCAGTGGCATTAAATACATTCAGATTGTTGTGTCTGTCAACACCATGCATTTGCAGAACTTTTTCAGCTTCTGAAACTGAAACTCTGTACTTGTTAGATAACAACTTCCTGTTCTTCCCTTCCTCCAGCTGCTACAATTTTGCTTTCTATATGATTTCAACTACACTAGGTACCTCATAGAAGTAGAATCATGCAATATTTATCATTTTTGTATTTGACTTTATCTAGCATAATACCCTCAAACTGTTCATTTTTGGTGTAACGTGTCAGAATTTCCATCCTTTCTAAGGCTGCATGATATTCTGATAGGGCACACAACTTACACATACATGTATCACATTTTATTCAGCCAACTATGGACGGACATTCAAATTTCCTACCTTTTGGTTACTATGAATACTGGTATAAAAATGGTATGCGCCCATGAGTGCTGGCATAAAAATGGCCATATTCTTGAAATATTTGTTCCAGGAAAATAAATTAGCAATAACTTGTATTAATTATTGGCAGCTGTTTGTATCTTATTACAAATTGATTTTTTGAAGGCCAAATTACTAACTTCTATTCACAAGTTTCTTAGATTTTTATAATACTTAGTTTTTTCCAGATGTTTGCTAAGTTTTTCTATAAGTTTCTTGGTAGATTCTTGATTTTCTGTTAATGACATGCCATAACTTCCCTTAGGGCATTAAAATCAATTTGGAGATTCTAGTTAGTCTGCTAACTGTAATGTTACCTTGAGGTAAAGAATTTTATTATATATAGATTTCTTTAAAAATTGTAACTCTCTGACAGGTGAGAGATGCAGCAATATTGGCTGTTGTAGAGATTTACAGACATGTGGGAGAGAAAGTGAGGATTGATCTTTGTAAGAGAGGAATTCCCCCTGCTAGGTAAGTTTTGTTAAATTTCTTTTTTTTTTCCCCAAGTTTTAATTTCTTTCTTTTCTTTTTTTGTTTACATTAATACATGTTTGCAGTATGTAATGATTACATCCATCATGGGGAGTTGGTACATGTACATCACATCTTAAGTTTTAATTTCATTTGTTTATTCAAAAAAAGTGTAAGCTTTCTAAATGTTTTTAAATTCAAAAGTTATAAAAGATTATATGTATATGTATTTAGGTTAGTACTGTTTAAATATTGTGATAGATATACTGCAAATACTGTGTTCAGGTTTTCCTCTGGGCCCCAATTTTCATCTCTTTTAGTAAATAATAAGGCATACAATTGCGTTGTATGGTAGTATATGTTTATTATTTTTGCAGTGCTGGAACTTGAACCCAGGGCCTCATGCATGCAAGTTCACTTAGCTACATCCCTAGCCTCTGGTAGGATTTGTTTAGTTTTTTTAAGAAACTGATCTGTCTCAAAAGTGACAGTCCCATTTTGCATTCTCATCAGTAGTGCATGAGAATTCCTGTTGCTCTGAAGCTTTCCCAGCATTTAGTATTATCATTGTTTCAAATTTGGTCATTCTCATTGGTTTGTGGTAGTTATCTTATGATTGTTTTAATTTGTATTTCTCTGATAACTCATGATAACATCTTTTCATATGCATAATTGATTTTGAATATATTCTTTGGTGAAATGTCTGTGTAGATGTTTTGCCAGTTTTTAAATTGGGTAGTTCATTTTCTTATTATTATAAAAGTTTTTTATATGCTTTGGGTAGCAGTCTTACAGATATTTTGTTCCTGTGTGTAGCTTGCCTTATTTTGATAGTGTCCTTTGCAGAGCAGAAGATTTTAGTTTTAATGAAGTAAAGCTTATCAGTCTTTTCCATTGTAGATGTCATATTTAAAAGTCACCATAAAACTCGTTATCTAAGTAGTTTCTTGTATGTTGTCATCTGTGCATTTTGAAGCTTCTGTTTTACATTTAGTTCCATGAAACATTTTGAGTTAATTGGGATATAAGGTCTTTACCTAAATTCATTTCTTTATATGTAAATATACAATTATCCTAGCACTATTTGTTGAAAAGACTATCTTTATTACATTGTCTTTGTTCTTTTTTCAAAGATTATTGACTACTTTTGTTTATATGGGTCCATTTCTGGGTTCATTTCTGTTGTCTCTCTACTGTAGTTTGTATTCTTTGTCTGTACCATGTTACTTGTAGCTTTTAGCAGTGATGGACAACCTTTTAGTTTGCAGTGATACAAATAACCTGGTCATAACGTGTATCATATGCTTGCCACCACTGCTGTATTCCTAAGGACTTGAAATTGAGTAAAGGCTTTCAACTTGATTTCTCATCTAATTTTTTAAATTAGTGCATGTTTACAGTACAGAATAGAGAAGTTTATTGGAGAGAATTGGTATAAGCATTTAACTTATCTTGATCATTTTCAATCACTCCCCTCCCCCCCATTTCCTTTTCCTTATCTCAGTCCCTTTCCTTTTCAGGATTCTTCCTTCTAGTTTTCTGTTATCTCTCCTTTATTTTATTTGTTTATGTATTTATATTTGAGGTTTCTCATATAAGAAAGCATGATAATTAACTGAGTCTGGCCTATTTCCCTTAGCATAATAATTTCTAGTTCCTGCCAATGACATGATTTCATTATTCTTTTTGGTTGAATAATAATCAAATATATAATATTCAGATATATATCACATTTTCTTTATCCATTCATTTGTTGATGGGCTTCTCAGCTTGTTTCCAGAGTTTAACTCTGGAAATGATTGTGCTATGATTTGTGCTGCTACAGATATTGGATATGTATTACTATAGTATAATGTCTTTAAATCTTTTGAGAATACAATGGAGAGATCCAGCTGGGTCAAATGGTATTTTCTAGTTTTTCTTTCCTTCAGTATCTTGTAAGCTGTTCTCAGTCTTTTGCCTCTCCATTTTAGTTTTATTATCTGTTTGTTGATAAATGCAAAATAACTTACTGACATATTGATTGATACTGCATTGAATTTATAGATTTAAGTTGGAAAAAACTGACATTGACAATATTCAGTCTTCCTATCCATCGAATGTGGAGTATATCTCTGTTTCATTCTTTGTTTCATCAGAGTTTTGTATGTTTCCTATATAGTTCTTGCATACACTTTGTTAGATTATAGCTGAGTGTTTCATTTTTGGGAATGCTAATGTAAGTATCTTTTAAAATTTAAAATTTTACTTGTTCATTGCTAGTGGACAGTTTACCATCCATATCATTGGTTCCAAACATCCAGAATCAAGTAACTAAATTGCAAATATTTGGGGGAAAAATTGTATCTGTACTGAACATGTGTAGCCTTTTTTTGGGTGAGAGGTCACTATTCCCTGAGTAATACTGTCTAACAACTATTGACCTAGCATTTAAATTGCATTAGATAATTAAACTAGAGATCTTTTAATGTATATAGGAGGAATTATATTCTATGCAAACACTGTGTCATTGTTATAAGACACTTAAACCTCTACAGATTTTAGTATGCAAGAGGGTGTCCTGGAATTATTCCCATGGAAACATCAAAAGAATGCTGTATAGGAAGGCAGTCGACGGTGTGTCCTGAGACCTTGCTCCGTAATTGCTTATTAGTTTCAGAAGATTGCTGTCAGTCAGTTTGGATTTTCTCCATAGATAATCATGTCATTTGTAAGCAAAACAGTTTTATTTCTTCTCAATCCATATACCTTTCTTTTCCTTACCTTTTCTTGTCTTAGGACTTACAATACAATGTTAGCAAGAACAAGTGGGGACATTGTTGCCTTATTTCTGATGTTATTAAGAAATTTTTTAGTTTCTTTAAGGTGTGATGTTAGCGCTAGATGTTTTTGTTAATGTTTCTATTTTTGTTTGATTTTTCTAGATCAGTTTGAACAAGTTCTCCTCTGTCTCCAGTTCACTGAGCTTTTTTAAAAAAATCTACCATGAATGTGTGTTGGCTTTTGTCAAATGTTTACATGCTTGCTTGCCTGCTTTTTTTAGCATGTTGACAGGGGCATATAAATTATAATATCTGTGGAATCTGTAGTAATCCCACCTTTTATTTCTGATATTAGTGATTTGTGTCTTTGCTCTTTCTTAGCCTTGCCTGGAGGGTTATCACTTTCAGTGACTTTTTCAATAAATTAGCTTTCAATAAATTAACTTTTCTCTATTCTCATTTGTAATATCAAAATTTTCTGATTTTTTTTCCTTCTGCTTATTTTGGATTTAATATACTGTCTTCCACTGTTTGTGTAGTTTCTATTACAGCTTCTGTCTATGAAGTTGAGTAATGATTACATTTTTTCCTGTCTTAGCACATTATTTATATACTTTAAAAAAATTTTTTTAGTGATTTGAGTTTGCAGTATACATCTACAACTAACTCAAGTCTACTTCCAAATAAGTATACTGCACTACATAGATAGGGTAAGTACATTATGACAAAATAATCCTAATTGTTTCTTACTATCACTTGCATATTGCTGTTGCTTGTTTTACTTCTAGGTAAGCATACCTGAGGATGCATATAATGAATATATATTTAAGTATAAATAATTGGATTAATTTTTGCTGTTACTATTTTTTTAAAACCTGTTGTCTGTTTAAATATATTAAAAATTTTGCCAGATGTAGTGGCACATGCTTGTAATTCCACCACTTGGGAGGCTGACATAAGAGGATTGCTACAAGTTCAAGGCCAGTCTGGGTTACATGGTGAGTTCAGGCCCAGTTTGAACTGTACAGCAAGATCCTGTCTAAAAAAAGCCTCAAGGTTTTATATAAAATTTTAAAAATTGGAGATTGTAATTCAGTGATAGAGTGCCTGGTATATGCAGTGTCCTGGGTTCAATCCTGAGCAGGGTAAAGAAAAAAAAAAAAAGAATAAGAATGATGAAAGGTTTTTATCTTGTTCTTTTTTTCTTCTCCTTATAGAGATTAAATCCATGGCCTTCTCACTGAAATACATTCCTAACCCCCTTTTTTTGTTATTTATTAAATTTTGAGACAGGATTTGTCAGAGTTGTCCAGTCTGGGATTGAACTTGCAGTCCCCTGCCCTAGCTTCACAGAGTGCTGGGGAAAGTTTTTATTTTACTTTATTTTACTTCACTTACTGAGTTCTTCTCTAATGCTTATTTCCTTATTAGTTTCCTATTAGATCTGAATTTTTTTGTTGTTGTTGTTGTTGTCGTTTTCCCTTTTATCGGTACCGGGGATCGAACTCACGACTGCCTGCTTGCAAGGCAGGCACTTAGGCCGCTGAGCTAAATCCCCAGCCCCTAGATCTGAATTTCTGATCCATATAATTTCCTTTTTTTCTAAAGAATTCCTTTTGAAACTTCTCAACAAGGAAAGGTTTGTGGGTGACAAATTCCGTTTTTGTTTATTTGAGAAAGTCTTTAGTTCTCTCACTTTTGAAGGTTAATTTCACTGGGTACAGCATTCTAGGTAGGTGGATTTTTCTTTCTTTTTTACTTTCTCTGTATGCATGTTTTCTGAGATTTTGGATGTACTTCTCCCTATATAAATACAGTGTTTTTCCGCTCTGACTTCTTGGAATATCTTTATCTTTGGTCTACTGTAATTTGAAACAATATGATTAGGGGTATAGTTTTTCTGGCATTCATCTTGCTTTATGAACATTCTCTGAGCTTCCTGCTTTTGTGATTTGGTAGGATATTAATTTGGGGAAAATTCTTAGTAATTTTTGCTTAAAGTATTGTTTTGTCCCCCCCCCCCCTTATATGTATACCTTTTGTAGCTGCCTCACCTTCCTGGATATTCTGTGCTCACCCCTCCAGTGTTGGAGAATTTTATTGAGATATCCTCAGGCTCACAGATTCTTTTCCTCTGTAATGTCTAGTTTAAAATATCTCCTTTAAAAACATTTTTAATTTCATTTACTTTTTAAAATCTTTCTTTTTTAGTTCTATGTTAGAATTTTCAGGGGCTGGGGATTTAGCTCAGCGGCATAAGCACCTGCCTTGCAAGCAGGCGGAAGTGAGTTCGATCCCTGGTACCGATAAAAAAAAAAAAAAAAAAAAAAGAATTTTCGTCTCTCAGGTTTGCCATCTTTTTCGCATGCTTTATTCCTCATAGCTTTTTAATATGCCTTTAATAGCCTTTTAATATGCCTTATGCCTTTTGCTTTTGTTAATTGTGAACATGATGTACCAGGTTAGAGGAATTGCCCTGAACAGGCTTTAGTTAGTAGGATGGTAAGATGAGAAGGGGAAATACTGTACGGTCCTTCAAGTAGGTCTTAGTCTTTTAAGGAGTTTGCACCTCTGGAGTGTGACATTCACAAATGTTTCTCATCCTCTTTCCTAAACTCCATAGGACAGGATAATGAGAGCCAAGTGGAGTCTGCTGTTTGCCTTCTTTGATGGGGAGGCTGTTAGGGGCAGGAGATGGTTGTTACATTCCTCCATGTTGATAGCTAAAGCAGTTGGAGTTGACAGTTTGCATTTTGCCAGATCATTTAGACTTTCATGAAACTCTAGCAGGTTAGACTGCACTCAGTTTCTTATAAGGTAGACCTTCTTAAGAATAATACAATACTGTACTCTGACATATTTCAAAGATGGTTTCTTTTCCATTTTCTCTGCTGGAAACATGATGGTATTTTTCGTAGATGTTTACTCTGAGAACCAGGAGGTAAAATACAAACAATATTTATGTGAGCGTGTGTCTGTGGTGGTGAGGTTCTTCATTCCCAAAATGGTTATTTTTGAACCTTCGGCATTTCATCAGATATAGTGTAGGTTACCTTACTCTGGCACTAGTTTCTCCTGATGAGTTTCTGCAGGGTTAGATTGTGATTTTTTTGTTTCTTCCTACCTCTACAACTGTCATCAAAATGTAAAATGGTGCCATATTTGGAAGAGTCTTTGTAATTCCTCAAAACATTAAATGTAGTGTTATCTCATGATGCAGCAGTTTTGACTCCTAGGTATGTGCTAATTTGACTTTACTTCTTTTATTTATTTAAGGAATGTTACTGATTTTTTTAGTTTTACTTTTTCATTGTTAAGGCAGAATGACTTCTAAGCTTCTTACGTACCTCACCACAAATAGGTTGAAATTATTTTTTATTGCTTAAACTTTTATTCGGTCATGAACTCCATGATAGAATAAAACAGATAGATAGAACAGTACATTAATCATTAGTGTACATCCCTATAAAGTAAAACAAAATGAATACCCTCATATATCCAGCATGCAAGAAACAGTGTATCAACGTAGAAGCTTCCCCAAATAAGATTGTTAATCTTTTTTTTGGTCTTTTTTCGTTTTTATCGGTACCAGGGATCGAACTCACTTCCGCCTGCTTGCAAGGCAGGTGCTTATGCCGCTGAGCTAAATCCCCAGCCCCAAGATTGTTAATCTTTATTCCTTCTCTTTCCCCTAAGTAACCACAGTGTTGACTTCAAATAGTACAGTTTATTATACCTTTTTTTTATAATTTTATATAAGTAGAGCCATGTAGTATTTATTCTTTTGTGTCTGATTTCTTTCAGTTAACATTATTTTCTTTTAACTTTCTTTTCCTTTTGCTATGTAGTTTAGGTTAGTATTGAACCCCCATGTGTAGCGCAGGCTGGCCTTGAACTTGCAGTGATCCTCCTGCCTCAATTTAAGCTTCTGGTGGATGTTTTATGGTTTGATTAGGGAAATAATACACATTTTTTGAATTAATAATAAAGAAGAGGGTCGAGGATATAGTTCAGTGGTATAGCACCTGCCTGGCAAACGTGAGGCCCTGAGTTCAATTCCCAGTATAAAGAAAATGAGAGAGAGAGAGAAAGTGTGTTTCATATATTTATCAGCCATTTGCATCTTCTTCTATTCCTAAGTTGTTTCTTTCTTCCTTTTTCACCGTATTAGCAATAGGTCTCTCTTACAAATTTGTTTTTTAAAAATAGATGTGTGGCGTTTAACGGTTCGGGATTGGGACATACAGTGAGGACTACATAGGAGGAGACTTACACTGTTTCTTTTTTCTTACTGCTTAAAGCTAGGTGGGTGTTTTAGAAGAAAGGGAGACCTCAGAAGGGAGAGTAGAACAGTCATACAAAGAGTGTACATAGCTGAGGACTGACAGCAAGATGAAGGGTGTGAGCATCTTCTCAGTGTGTCTTCCCAGCCTGATGTTGGGCTCTAAAGCCTTGGGTAGTATCTTCCAGTCTGGCCACCATTTCTTTTTCTTCTCCTCAATTATTGTTATATTTCCATTCCAGTTATCGTATCTTTCCAATAAGCTTGCCTACATATCAATTCATTGCTTAATTTTTTGTCTGCCCTGCCTCAGTTTCTTGCCAGCCCTCTTTTTCTTTGAGCTTTCTGTCCTAAATTCTCTATTCCCATTTTCTTGATGTATAGCTGAATGTTAATCCTATGTTTGTCTGTCTGTCTGTCTTTCTTTCTCTTTTCTTTCTCTATGAGGTGCTGGAGATTGAACCTGGGGTGTCAGTGCATACTAGGTAAGCACTCTATCACAGACCTACATCCTCAACCCAATCTCATGCTTCTGAGCATCTTACTCTGCTTCTCCAGTCGCCCAAACACCTTTCCTAAATCTTCTCCTTTCTGTTCCTGGACTGTCTGGACTTTATTCTGAGTGACAGCATACACTTCCAGTGCTCCCTTCTACATGGCAATATCTTTGGGCAGCCTAACCTGTGTCTCTTTACCCCTTTTGATGATACTGCTCTGTAGGATGAAGGAGTCTTTGTCTTTCCACTGAAGTATTTTCAGATGTTTAGTTGTATTTGATGAATTATAGGGATAGCAAGTGAGATTATGATTTAGAAAATCCCTTGAAGAATTTTCAACTAAAATGTTTTAGTTATTACTAGAATTTTGAAAAGTTATCTGTATCCTCAGTTTATAAGTAAGAAGTGACACAATGTGGACCAACACGTAAGGGAGGTTTTACGCAATGAAAGTTGTTATACAAACATAAGGGTCAGCCAGAGAAAAACAATTGTCAGTGAAGGCAGATTGACAGTGGCCCTCTTTCCTTTCTCAAGTCTTAAAGTCATGAATTTAAGAATAAGCCATAGTTTGATACATTAGAAGATGAAAGAAAGTGCAAATTTATTTTTAAAAAAAGCACTCAGCATAATTCCATTTCATTCTCAAGAAAATTTATATATGAATATACAGTAAAAACATCAGACATGATACAGTAGGTTTGGGCGATGAGAATATATATTGTGGTTTTTTTCTTTGTTCCTATTTATATTTCCTAATTTTGTGTATTACTTTTGTAATAAGAAACTTTTTTCTGGTTTTTTGAGACAGCGTCTTGCCGAGTAGTTCAGGCAGCCTTCAAACTTACAGTGATCCTTGTGCCTCAGTTTCCTGAGTGCTAGGATCACAGGTATGTGCTAAAAAACAAATTTTTAACTAAAAAGAAATAATGGCCGAAGTTTAGAAGAGTAGCTGTTCTGAATATAAAAGTCGTAGTGCCAATGAAAGTGGTAAAATTTGAAAATAGGTTAATAGAGCATCTTATTTATCACTCATGGCAGCATCACTTTCATTTCTAATATTTTACATTTCATTGTTTTTATATTTGCCTTAAATTTCCTTAGCATGGTTTTTATGTACATATAAAAGTTTATATTGGTGCCTAAATGAATTTAAGGTTTTAACTGGAAAGATTTTGCTCTGTTTGGGGTAGCAATTTTACTGTAAAACTGCTATATGTACAAGTTATGTTTTTACAAACATACCTGCAAATATGAGAGTCCTGCCTGTATCTGGCTTTTCCTCTTAACTAAAAGCAGATGGGTTTTGTGCCTTCTTTTAAGTAAGTGAATTGTTTAAAAAAAAAGGTTGTATAGAGAACTGGCTGAATCCCTAGAATTGTTTTTTGTAAGGAAGATAGTGGAAGAAATTGTTTTATTCATCTCTGTGTAAAAACAATTTATTCTTTATTCCCAGATTAGAAATGATATTTGCCAAATTTGATGAAGTACAAAATTCAGGCGGTATGATTTTGAGTGTCTGCAAAGGTAAGAGTAATTAAGTTATCCCAGGTCTCAAAGCAAAATGTGTTTCAGACCAACTGTTTTATCAGTATACAGATGAGTTGATTTTACAGGATGAAAATTTACGTGGGTATAAGCAAAATTTCTACTGTCTGCTCCCTTACTCTTTTTGGAGTAGGTAAAAATTCAATAATGGATCTGTTGTGTAAAGTGACATCATTCTTTTGCCTTATGTTTTGTGTCTTCTGTATTGAAATATGCCTCTTGATCTTCATGTCCCATGCATAAAACAGGATTTTCATTCTCAGAGTAATTTGTTTTTAGTAGAAATTGTACGTTACAGAGTCTCAGTTTCACCTATATGTAGACTTCCAGTGATACTGATGAAGGAACAAATATAAAGAAATTTAACTAGAATAATCATCTTCTTTGTAGAAGAGTAGAATAATCATGCTTCTTAGTAGAATGAGACTAAGTGGGAATTCAGGGAGGTTTGATGTTAACATTCTCAACTACAGATAAGTTGGTATTTGTTTGATTTTGTAGTACCTCTTTGTAAAGTTGATAAATTGTGCTCAATTTTGTTGAGTAGCATTTATCTAGACTTCAGTTTTTAAATATTTATTACTCACGTATCTGAAGAATATAATGTTTCCAAAGATAATATAGATGTTTTTTCCTGCCTAGGAAAGTAGCTTGATATTATGTGCTAAACTTGATAGGATAAATGATGTTGGAGAATATTTGGTATATGAATTTATAGTCAGGTAACAAGAAAGCCAGTAAAAATACTAAATATTTTTTTCTTTAGGTTAAACCAAGACTGAACTTTGTTGTAGTACAGGAAGTAAGATGTAATGAAAATTTTAGTGTTTCTGTGTCTAACATAATCTAAATTACTTCTGAAGTATAAATTGAGTTTGATGCCAACAGTTCTTTCTCTCATTGCCTACTATTTCTCACTTTTCTTCTCTAAGTAGGAGGTGTTTAAGTACCTTGTCCTACTTTCTCCTGCAGGTACCTCTGTCTATAGAAACCAAAAAGAGCAAGAAGGATAGTTGCTAAAACTTCTTAAACTGAGATTTTCATGTTTTTGAAACATTCTTATTTGTGTATCCCTGATTACATAGTTACAACTCTTAAGGAAAAATGTATGATGTGCATTATAAAATTAAAAGTCTTTTTTTGGATATGGTTTATTTTTAAAGCACTAGTATTATATTTAATGAGGTTATTTCTGTTACCTTCAGAATGGCTGCTTGTTTCCTCTTCCATTTTTTTCCTTCTTGTTTATCACTCCACAAACAGGGTAGTTTGGAGGTATCTGGCATTTTTTTTTTCAGAAGGAATCCCACAGATTGTATTAGAGATTATGATCTAAATATTTCAAGTATGGTCAAATGTGACAGTTTAAGTCTATAGTATATATGTGGGGATGCAGAATATAGTTAAGATACTTTAATGATGGTACAGTGGCCTCCTGTTTTCACAGTTTCCACATCTGCAGATTCCATATCCACAATTCAGCCAATCACATATTGAAAGTATACTCAGACCTAATATATTTGCCTCAATCTTGAACATGCACTGAGTTCTCTTATCATTGCCTAAACAATACAGAATAAGAAATGTTTAGATGATGTTTATATTGTTCAGGTATTACAAGTACAGAATATGGTAGGATATGGATAGGTTATATGAAGATACTACACCAGTTTTTTAATTAGTTTGTAGTACATGAAATTTATATTAATCTTGAAGAGTAGGTGCATTTATACAAACAGAGCTTGTTTCTTTTTAATCCCTTTCCCACCTCCCTCTCTCCATCTCTAAATCCCTTTTCTTTTTACTTTTTATTCTTAGCTCATGTTTATGACATAAAATGTTTACGTTTATTGTATTTGGTGCCTAATACCACATCTTAAGTCTTCTTGCACTACACTGTTTGATATAAGGAACTTGACATCTTCAGATTTTACTGTCCATAGAGGGTCTCAAAATCAATCCCCTGTGGATACCAAGGTCTGACTGTATAATGGTTTCATTGAAAAATGCTTTAATGAATTAGTTGATGAGGGAGGGAACTAGAAAAAGGAAGCCCATTTATCATGTTGGTAGGTCCTAGCGCCCGAACCACCTCCGTCTTCCCTCTTTTCTCCTTTGTTAACATATTCTTCTAGCTGTCTTTCATCTGTCCTTTTTATGCTCTAGTCTTGGTAGTTATAGCCTAAATGACATTTCTATCTGGATGTCTGATAGCTGTTTCAGGCTTAACATATCCAGAAGCATTTTTATTTTTGCCCCTTAAATCTGTTCCTTCCCCAATCTTTTCTATTTCAGTCAGTGGCACGACCATTAGCTCAAGCTGGAAACCTGACTTGATTTATTATTCTAACTAATAAATGGTTTCTGTCACTAATATACTAATGTATCTCAAATTTGCCTATTTTTAATATTTCTGGGGCTAACACCAGACTCTTAAATGTTTAGGTTTTTTTCTTTTTTTAATTAAATTAGATGCTGCAGGAGACCTTTGTTCAGTATTTGCCTCTTGAAATTCATTCACTACCCAGAAGTTGGAGTGAATTCTTAAAATATAAATTAAATCATGTCATAACAGTAAAGAAGATAATTTAGCCTGGCATTGTGATGCTTTCCTGTAATCCCAGCACTCAAGAGGCTGAAACAGGATTGCCGTTAGTTCAGGACTAACCTTGGCTACATGATGAGTTCAAGGGCCAGTCTGTACTACATAGTGAGACCCTGTCTTAAAATAAATAAACAAACAAATAAATAAATATTTCTACCCATAAGGAGCCTATTTGTGCAAGGAGATGGATTATAAATAAGTACACGGATGGTAGTGTAACAATGTGGATCTGTTGTAACAGTGTGGTTACACTAGATAATGAGAGAACAACTACTACTTGTTCAATAAATTCAAATTATTCCTAAAAATCCTGCTGCTAAGTTGGAGACATTAAATGAAAAAAAATTTACACTAATATTAACGACAAAGATTGTGATGTGGGCCAAGTGTGCTGTGTGCCTATAATCCCAGAATGTTAATCAACTTTCCTGTTAGTGAGACCTAATACCCCACACCTGCAATTTAAAGGAGAGGGTTATTTACTCATAGTTCTCTCAGAGGTCCCTCACTGGATTCAGTTCAAGGCTGGCTGGCTCCAAGACACAAACAAATGGTGGAAAGCCATGGAAGGGGAAAGCTGCTTACCCACAGCAGAGAGGAAGTAGGGAAGAGGGAAGAGGCGAGCACAAGAATATACCCTTCTGGGTTATGTCCCTACGATCCACCTCTAAGCCGACCCCACCTTCTAGCAGCAAATTCAGTCAGTCATGAGAGTTTTTGTGGGACATTTTAGATCTAAACCATGACATCCAGCTACTGGAGAGGCTGAGGCAGGAGGATCACAAGTTCAAGGCCAGCTGGACAGTTTAGCAAGACTCTGTCTTAAAAGGCAGTAGCAGAGTGGGGGACCTGGAGTGGAAATATAGTTCAGTGTTCATTGCAGGCATAGGGGCAAAAGATAAAGGGATGAGGAAGGGAAGGAAGGAAGAGAAGAAGAAAAAATTATGGTATATTTATTATAACCCAAAATTCTTGAATAATTTTCATACATAAGAATATATATCAGTTGAATAGTGAAAAAAAAGTTTTAACAAATGAGAACTGCAAGACAGTTTGCATGTAAATAAAATGAAAGTTAATTTAACTTTTTATTTTCTACACTTCTTTTCTCACACATTTTTCTGTCCTTAGTTGGTTTAGTTTTACCACATATACAAACTGTAGTATGCTGTAATATAAAATTGTAGAACAGAAAAACATTTTAGGGCAATATAAAGGCTCAGCATGAAGACGTGTGGAAATAGTTCAAGCATACAGTAGAATCAGGTTGGAGACATTAAATGAAAAAAAATTTACACTAATATTAATGACAAAGATTGTCTCCCTCTCTTTCTCTCTCACTTAGTGTTTTCATATAAAGCAAATTATTGGGTTCATTTAAACACGGTACACATTTCATATTTGTTTCATGTGATAGTCTATCACCAGTAACAATTAAGATAAATAAAATTTTGTGTTGTTGCCTGAAGCCATAATAATGAAACTTCCCACATCTTATGGTATATTGTTTAGTATTTTGTGATGAAAAAGTCATTTTCTAAATATAGACAGTAACATCTGTAAAGGTGCTAACTTTTTTGAGCCATTATAAAAGTTATCTGAGTAATCATTAAAGAAAATAGGATATTAAAACTGTAAGTAATTCAGTGATGCCAATTTAGATGGAATACTGGAGCCAGACTCTTAAGAGGTGGCATATTTGAATTGAGACCATATCAATAGATAAATGAGAATGAGCCATTCATGGATACATAGTGGGAAAATACTTTGGCCAGAGTAAAGGCCCAGACTGTGGGAAAGACGTTGGCATATCTGAAGAAGTGGAGGGAGCTAACCTTGCCTGGAACTTGTGCGACTAGGGTGGTTTAGATGAAAGACTGTGCATCAGAGGTAGTTGAGGAACCATGACCTGATGGCCTTGTGGGCCATGGGAGGAATTCTGATGGACTTCTAGAGGAAGGATCCCCATAAAGCATGTTAGGATAGAGAGGGAAATGTTAGGTAAGATTGGTATGGCTTAGCACTGTTTTATTTACATCTGTTGTGTAGAGAAAGTCTTTTACCATTTTTTTTATGAGTGATGACTTATATCACATAATTGACATGGCTGTACTCTTGAGTTCTGATTAAATGCTTTGACTTGATTTTTTTTAAGGCACTAGTTCAGCATATTCTTTTTTTTTTTTTTTTTTTTTTGTCCTTTTCGTTTTTATTGGTACCAGGGATCTAGTTCAGCATATTCTAGAACACTAAGTAAGTTATATCATCAGAGACTTGAGCCTATCATTTAGTTTAGGAATAGTGAGAAACGTAATTTTGTTGTTTTCTGAAGGGTTTTTGATTCTGCCTTTAATTCTCAGGTAAGAAGTACATT